GACTTTATTAAAGAGACCACAAATATGAGTTTGCAGAGCTGGGCAGAGTAGTAGAGGACAAGGGGCCTGGAGATGTCTCATCCATAGGGTTGCCATGGGTCAAGATTGACGCAAAGGGAGTTAACAACAACAACAATGGCTGGGAATCAGAATGTCCCTTGTAAGGATCAACTTAGGCAGTGATTAAACACATGCACGCACACGCACACATTTTTATTAGAAGAATTCTACATAATGTAAGCCAAGCCTGGCTGGCAAAGGAGTTTCTGTCACTGTTACAACTGCACCTTTCTCTCAGCTGTCCCTGAGCAATAACCCAGTGCTGTCCAATGTGGTAGTCCTGGGACTAATGCCATCCATGAGCCATCAGTTTCTGATCAGCAGTCAGTTTCTAAGAAATAAAAATAGTTGTAGCCAATGGGGACAAATATGCCATTGGTCACTGGCATATTAGGGGGGGGGGGGGAAATTAGCCTGTGAAGGACTCTCTAAACTACTTATTCCATTCTTCACTTCAGATGACCAAATTTTCCATTAATTTAGATCATACATAATATTACCATGGTATTTGTTATATTTCCTAACTTTCTGCTCAGCTGTAACAGTTGCTCAGCTTTCTATACAGTTTGTACATGTTTTCCTTAACTGATCTAAACCTATACTCCCTTATCCATCTCCTTCCTGAGCTAAACTTTCACTAGATGGCAACATAGATAGACTGTTTAAGTGTCATATGTTTTTTAACTCCTCCTCTTTTTTTCAGTCCCTCCCCTATCTAGCATTTAAAGAGCTGATAAGCTAATCTCTGGAATGGTCTGGATGCAGCCTCTCTGTCTGTCATTGGAGTATTTTTTTTTTCTCCTCAGAAATTGGTCCAGTTTTGCAGATCAACAGCTTTATCACAGTAGAAAATTGTGTGTGAAATATTAAACAAGAATGTGTGGAAAATATTTTTGTCTGCTCATGAACATATCTTCTGTGATCCCATAGGAGTTTACCAGCTACCTGCAGAAGCATGATGAAATCTTGACAGAATTAGAGAAAGCAACTAAGCGCATTAAGAAACTGGAAATGGTTTATAAAGAGTTCGAACTCCAGAAAGTTTGTTATTTGCCACTCAACACTTTCTTACTCAAACCCATCCAGAGGTTAATGCACTACAAACTGATCCTGGGGAGACTTTGCAAACACTACACGCCAGATCACCGAGACTATGCGGACAGCAGGAGTGAGTGGTGGATCAAGCAAATAGCTGCAAAGCCTTTAGCTGACATTTTTAAGTTCTCATTTTCTGTTGCTGGTTGACAGCACTTGAGTTGTTTTGGTGGGAATAGCATTCATTATGAAATTAATTCATAAGATTTAATTTTCTTTGGCCTCTACGCTATCACAAGAAACCAAAACAAATTATAAAGTTTCCTGTAAGAAAGTATTAGGTTGCTGGAATTTGTCTCAGGACCTCAAAACTGTGACTAAATATTTAAACTCTCAACTATAAAATTGCTTAAGCTTATTTCCTTGTTTTTGGTACTGCATTCTTTGAGCAGAGTAACATTTAGCTGAGGGCAGATTCACACATTCATGTACTTCACTCAGTGGGTCATTACTCAAGTGAACACCTGAGCAGCTTCCATTGGAAAGTATTGACTTTTGAATTTGATCTTTGATGGCAGCTGTCATTAAGTTATAAACAAGTGTGAATTCATGTTGAGTGCCTTTTTATTGTATATATATGCATTTAACAGGCAAACTGGTTATACCCAGAGTTAAGGGACTCATGGGAAATTGAGAACTTTGAGAAAAGCTAATTGCTTTGTTTATGTGTGCTTAAAGAGTTGTAATGGAACCTGGAGATGTCTCATCCATGGGGTCGCCATGGGTGGAGACTGACGTGAAGGCAGTTAACAATAACAACAGTACAATGTAGCAACAGGATCTGATATCATGCTTATATATAATACCATGTATATTTTACAAATGTAATATAAAGTGCAAAACAAAATGCCAGAGCTAAAAATACAGCATTTATTTTCCCATTAATTTTGTTTAAATACTAATCTGGAAATGTGCACTTCTGCATTTGAGCACACATATTCTATCTTGTTGTTGTTGTGTGCCTTCAACTCCTTTCCAATTTATGGTGACCCTAAGGTGAACCTATCACAGGGTTTCCTTGGCAAATTTTTTCAGAGCGGATTTGCCATTACCATCCTTTGAGGCTGAGAGAGTATGACTTGCCCGATGTCACCCAGTGGGCTTTCATGGTGAGCAGGGATTTGAACCCTGGTTTCTTGAATCCTAGTCCAACTCTCAAACCACTACCCTACACTGCCTCTCTATTCCATCTCAAGGAACGCATATCAGTCATTGATACTGCATTCTCATCTTTGTCTCTCTCTTTCCTGGTTGTAAAATAGAAATACGAAATCTTCTACCTCCTAGGATTATTCTGAGGATAGGTTAAGATGACCATTATGGAAACAAGTATGACAATTAAAAACAAGAAGCTTGCTAGTGATCTAATGTTTGAGGAATTTTCTAGCCCTTCAGGTTACAATTTGTGCTGTTATTAAAGTAATACATGCATAAACCTAAGAAAGGTAAGGTGGGAAAACAGTGGCACTCAAAAGGCAGGATAGGGTTATAAAGGATTTTGAGAAGCCTAATGAGGCTTGCACAAGACATCCCTCCCTCCCTTGGGTTTATATTGTATATCTGCTTCCAAATTAACTACTATTCTGTTTATCAATTGCCATCATCTTCTAAAAAATGCATCACAGCAATGTGAGAACCTGCTCTTTAGACACAAGGTGTAAGAATTACTTCAGTGCAAAATTTTGCAAAATTAATTTGTGCAATACTTTGGTCAGAATGTAAACAGCTCATTATGGGTCTCTCTCAAGAGAGTATGGATAATTTTCTAATATTAGACTACAACAAATGACAAAGAGTATTTGTTCAGGCCAGGCCAAGCCAGGCCACCTTCCTTTTGGTCACTTGCAAGATGCTGTCTTTTCTTAGATATGCACATGCAGCATATGATGTACTGCTTTGTATTGGAGTCTAAGCCAAGTAAGGCTAGTGAATATTGCACTGACTGGAATGTGTGCTGAATGCAGAAGTGTGCACTTACATTCAGCTCAGTTCTTAGGCAAAAATTAGTGCAAAATGAACCATCCAATGAAGTGCTGTCCATAATTTATGTGAGATAACAGCAATAAATCTATTTTTTTTAAAAAAACTAATTACACCAAAAAATAATAAACTATATCAAGAGCTGTGAACACAAATGAACTGGAAATTGAAACATTTGGGCCAGGATCCAGAGTTGCTTTATTATGTCCAGTGGGATTTTTTTTTTCCTTTTCAAAAGAAAATCCCCCTAAAATTTGTTGCAATTCCAAAACTGGATTGTCTTGTGTTTGAGGATTGCCATTTGAGAAATGTAAGCCCCAGGCTGTTTGGATGAGCAAAACTAGTAGCGTGATTCTTTGGACTCCTGCTACAGTCTTTTTGCTAGCTCTTGTTTTCTTAACAGCCTCTTTTTCTTTCTTTCTTTTGCGGCTCAGACTTATTCTCATAGTTTCACCAATAATAAGTATCGCCCCTATTCAGAGAAATGTTTAGTAACAGTCTTTACAATACAAACGGAGAAAAGAGGAATAGCTTCCTACCTCCTGAATGGCTTGCTTATGCACACCCCATACTGTTGCTTCATCAGCAACCAGCAGTTACACTACAGAGCTGTTTGAGTTGCCTGCCACAACTTAGTGTAGAGCTCTAGCCTTGGCTGCCCTAAATACAGATCATAACTATGGAGGTACTATGTGTAGCTGCATTTCTTTCTCTTCCTATTAAGCTCTTGGAAGCTAGGAAGTGGAGCAACATGCATGCATCTGTCACAGTATTGCAAACTAGAAGGAACAATATGCTTCCAGAAGCCATTATGGCAAGCATGAAGACTATTGTGGGTGATCGGGAATTAAATTAAAAGACTGACTTTCATTAACTGACACATGCACACTTTGCCCTATAATATTTCATATTTAAATAACACTTTAGTAGATGTGAAATAATCCATCCTCAAATACATCTGTCTCACACTTTAGCTGAAAGCGTAGGCTTTCATGGCCGGCATCCATAGTTTTTTGTGGGTTTTTCGGGCTATGTGGCTATGTTCTAGAAGAGTTTCTTTCTTACATTTCGCCAGCATCTGTGGCTGGCATTTTCAGATAATACTGGAATGGAAGAGAGTGGGTCTATATATACTGTGAGACCCTGGGTAGGGAGGGGTGATTGTCCTACCCTGAAGCTATGCCATTAACAACAGAACAAAACCTATTCAACACAGAACAATACACAGTTTACATGGGAATCACCTCTCCCTACCCAGGGTCTCACAGTATATATAGACCTACTCTCTTCCATTCCAGTATTCTCTGAAGATGCCAGCCACAGATGCTGACGAAACGTCAGAAAGAAACTCTTCTAGAATATGGTCACACAGCCCGAAAAACCCACAAAAAACTTTAGCTGAAAGCATCTAGGGGTAGCTGTGTTGGCCACATAGTAAATCAAAAATCCACCAAACAAAGTTTGGTGGATATCATTGGTGGATTTTAGCTGAAATGTTAGTTAACCTGGAAACTCATTTTGGATATACAAGTGGTAATTACTGGGAAATAAAGCAAAATCACATCCCCAACCAGAATTTGGTTTCTCAGCGGTTTCCTCGTATCCTTTATAATTGGGTATTACTGTAATTCAGGATAATATCTGAACTGTTTTAACATTTCTGTAATATTTTAAATGGTAGTAAAATAAGGTTTGTACATTTGCCAGTAGTTTCTGATCTGTTGGGTTTGTGTGTTGTTGTTTTGTAATTCTTTTCTGCAGATGCACTGAAGGAAATCACAGAAATGACATCACATCTTCAAAACAGCCTGATCCGCTTGGAAAATTTCCAAAAGCTGACAGAATTACAGCATGACCTGCTTGGCATTGATAACCTTGTAGCAGCTGGCAGAGTAAGCAGTTCTTTCTCAGTTTAGATTTAAACCTTCTGTGCTTTAAACAACATTTATGAACTTTCCTATTATTTGTTCTGTTTGTTTGATTCCAGTATAGGATGATAGCTTTAGAAGTTTTATTGCTTTACTCTAGAGCTAGCATTGCTCCTGCCAAATGTATTGCATCTTTGATATGGTTTTGCTAACATAAATTTCAAAACCTAGTATGAAAAATGGTTCTTTGAAGGCCTCTTATTTTATTGTTTCACTGTTTTCAATCACAGGGGTGACAAGAATCAACACAATACTGTGCCGTCTTTCTTCATACAGGGAATCTTAGTACCTATTTACTTATGGAAGTAGCCTCAACACTCTCACATCTGTGCTACATCAGTAAAGAAGATTCTTGGTAGTAATAAAGAAGTCATTGAGTAGCTAGCTCCCTAAAGCCCAGCAATGTCAAACAGTCATATTCTGTTGGCATATTTATTTATTTATTATAAGCTGCCTTTCTCCCAGAGTGGAACCTAAGGGGGCTCCCAGACAGTCCATTTAAAAAGCATCACATAAAATGGTAAAAGCCACATAAATCACATTACATTTTAAAATCACTACATAAAACAGTATAAAATAATTTTTAAAACGTACAAAAGTATAAAAAGATAAATAAAACACCCCAATGAGAAGCTCCCTGGCCTACACATTAAAGGCCTGCTTAAACAAAAGCTCTTTGCCTGCCAGTGAAAGGAAAGCAGGGAGGGGGCCAACCTAACCTTCCACAGAAGGGAGTTCCAGAGGATGGGAGCAGCCACTAAGAAGTCTATCTCTTGTGTCCTCACCAAGTAAACCTCTCATGGTGGTAGGATTGAGAAAGCCTTCCCCTGTAGATCTTAGGATTCGTATGGTGAGATAAGCTCTTTCAGATAGCCTGGACTTAAGCCATATAGGGCTTTATAGGTCATGACCAGCACTTTGAATTGTGCCTAGAAAGGAACTAGTAGCCCGTGAAACTGTTTTAAAAAGGGAGTTATATGTTCCCTATAAAGGCATACTGGATTTTTTTAACTAAATCTCAAACATCATGAAACTGTTTCATTCAATATCATAGGCCAGGATTCTTTCAGTTACTTACACTGGTATAATCCCTAGCTATGCCAAGGCAAGTATTTTTAAAGTGTTGCAGAAAGAGGTATCCTGTACATCCTTGTGCAGTTGTTTACCCTAGGTGTGCAAGGGAAAGCAGACGACTCCTGGGCACAGCTGCTTCAACCACTCATTGGCTGCATGGGTGCCATCCATGTGCCATTTTGCACCAGGGTGGAAGGCTACAGTAGTGTTTCCTTCCACAGATGCACAACAGCACCTAGATGGTGTCCAGGTGCATGACAACAGCCATTTTAGTTGTTGAGGAGGAACTTTGCTGTCTGGTTACTCTTGTGCACCAGGGGGTGGGGAAGAGGCACTACGGTTACCTAGCAGTGTAAGTAATGTGATTGAGATCTGTGCTCTCCACTACAAGTCAAATAAAATCTTAACCATAGTATTACTGTGGATTGAGAATGGGAGTATTACTTTGGATTGAGAATGGAGGTGCTATAATTTCTAGGAGACTGAAGAGCTACCAAATCTGATTTGCCTTGTAAGTTGCCCTGAAAAAAAGGCATTATAGAAACAAATAAAAAAACACTCTGAGAAAAGAAAATACTTTTATCATTTTTGCACAGGAATTTATCCGGGAAGGTTGCTTATACAAGTTAACAAAAAAGGGTTTACAGCAAAGGATGTTCTTTCTGGTGAGTTTGATCTTTGTTCAAGATTGTAATTCCTGATAATGCTGCCTTGCTACAGTAGAGTGAGGGCTGGTATTTCTTAAAGTCAGCTTCCTGTAGATCTTCTACACTGTGCTAATGAGGACAGGGTTGTTTATGTGAACCTCCTGTTGTTTTATAGCAATAGAATGTGAGCTGTTTTCTCATCTGGACAATTAAATGAATGGGTCACAAACACCAAATTCTCTAAGCCCAGTTTGTGTATGCTCTGAGGGTGCTGGGAGAGACAGGATGACACTTTCTAACTACTTTGTGCCTACTTTTTCATCAAATTTCAGTGTCCTTTTGTTAGGGGGCTTCCTGGGAAACGATTTTGGAGGCCTTAACAAAGTAATTACTGCCAGCTATTTTAGATACTGTCTTTTTAATTATGAACCAAAAAGTGCAAGTATTTTTTCTTGATTCAGAAGGACTCTTCATGATTGTGTATGAATTAAATATTACTTTAAAATCATTTTGTTAACCTAGTACTATTGTACTGAGACATCATAATTT